CTCAACGTTTTGTTAGATGACTTTGGGAAGAGCAGTTTCTCACAAGGACTTTATCAGCTGAAGGGAATGCTCAAGCTGTCGTCTAGGAAACTCCACCAAAACAGTGTATCATGAGATTTTTTTTTCATGAAAACTCGTGCCCTAATTCAGGTATCATGTTGGATCATAAATAAACAACTTTTGGCTGTTATTTCATCAAATAAGTTGTTATGGTTATCGAGGAATTGAAAAATTTCAATTTTTTCTGACCACTCATTCCAACTATGTATTCAAACAAATGAACACTTCTTTCATCCTTATCAACCTGAATGTACTTAGTTATTTTTAGAATTGTTTGCGTCAATGAGTAATCTGATTATTTCAATCTCAAGTAGGGCTTTTCTGGATCAGATATGTGTAATAAAGCACGTGGAATTCGTAATCTAGAAACCTCGACGTCTTTTTGGATTATTACTTTGTACAAGAATGTGATTGGCCAATAAACAGAAACAAAATCTATTTTTATATTTGTTTCAATGCCATCTAATGAATGGAGGGGTGATTTTTCTTGAAAAATTAATACATATGTGTGTATCAGGTCTAAACAATCGATACTTCCTTGTTCCAACTAGATGGCAGAAATATATTTTGTAATCTGTCTGTTACTGAATGTAACAATCAATATGTTAATTATCATTCCATAATGATCAACAGTTGGTTCAATTTTTTAACTTTTTCCATTTCGATAATGCAGTATATTAAGAGCACATGTTTTTTTTATAATTGCTTTCAAACTTTCTGGTCATGACATGACAACTCATCAGTTACCAAAGTTTTTTTCTAATCTATCATTCACATTAGATGATTTTTTTCTACATAACAAGTTTCCACTTTTGTAATTTGGGTAACTATAAGAAGATGATTCAATAGCTTAATGATTCCGACAGAACTAGTGGAAATTTAGCTGTGAAAAAGTAATTAATTGGTTTTTCATTGTTCATTTGTCTATTCTAATACATTCCCTACCTTCTGTTTTCTTGTCAAGAACGTGTCAAAATGAAATTTCTGATTTAGTTTTCGACCACTCTGATTCCTTGCAGACTTCACTCCGTTGGCTTCCAGAGTATACAGGGTGTTTATTGAACATGCGGAAAAAATTCAAGAAGCGGAAAAGAATTTCGACAATAACAATTTAATGTTTCTTAATCTACAAGAACTGCTGAAAATGACAACTCCCACTGGGATTCAAGAATCTAATCTTGTCCTCATCGACTCCCGGACTCTTTCTAAAACACCAGGATCGTTGCTGATTGCGTTACACCCAGCAATTATCTCAAATTTTTCACTGAAGTAGTATGAAAAAATGACTTTAAGTGGCTTCATTGGAAGTGATTCAGGGGGTTCAAGTCCGGTAATCGAGCAGGCCATAAGTGCGGTCCACATCGACCAATCTAGCGATCTCTGTATGGAAATGTTGAAAATTCTCGAGCCAATATGCTAAAATACGCTATTGCACCATCGTGCATAAACAGTAACTGAAGTAGCGTTTGTTCCAGAAAGTTGCAGTACATCTCGCCGGCTAATTTTGAACATAAGAAAAGTTTTTTTTTCTTAGGCAGCCTATGTGTTTAATTCACTTTCTTGTAATAGTACAACAATGTCGCTTACATAAATTATAAATGGAAGCGGCCTCAGAACATAACCTTGTAAGTGCTGTTATTAGAATCGGAATTTTCGCAAATCCATACTACACCCCGAAAATATGACAGTTTTGCGAAATCCATCCAAATTTTGAACTTTCTTGTTTAAATGTGACCAAACTAAATAACCTCTCTTGAATTTTCTTTCAGTTATATTCGTGGCTTATTTGAAACTCATTCAAACAAGAATAGGAGTGTATGAATTGTCAAGTTCTCCAATTCTGGAAATGGACTAAATTTTCCCCATTAACATATCCAAATATCTGCTTTGTTCATTATTCTTGTTGAATAAAGTTATCACAGTTGTTGGATGACCGTTTTATCTTCAAGTTACTGAAGTTTGGTTTGTTTTTGAGTATGTGTTAGTTCCTTGGTTATTGTATAGTCCTATCTGGACGGAAATACGGAAAGACAAAATTTCAAGGGAAAGTCAATCAAACTGTAAAATCATAGAATAGTAATCTCACCGATCATACATATTATCAACATCAGGTAGTTCATTCATTTATTTATTCATTTCCGGGTTCAAATCCCAAATCAAATCATAAAATGATACAAATATAAGTTACAAATAATCATGAAAATCATTTTTCCATTTTCTTATTTCGAGATTCACAAATACCGATCCAGGATCGGTGTCTGTGCTTTTGTGCAACACAAACTAGTGGGATAATTTGATGTGATATTATGATCTCCAGTTTCAATACTTTTTTTTCCGATATAGTTCGGATATATTTCAATATACAGCGTGTTATTAGCCGGGAAGTAGTTGTTTTCCGAAAAACGTTCACCAGACATATTGGTGTTCATTTTAACCCCAAATAAACTTATCGAAGCAGCACAAATTACACAGCACAAAATACTCAGTGTATAGGGTTTTCATATCTGAGGAAAGTCGGTATCAAACATATTGTCAAAAACATATATTGTCAAAAACCAGTTGGTGGGGATATGAACATGAAAATTCTCAAATTGACTCTATCTGTTGGTGCTTATACCTTCTTATTCATAATGAATCAGAGTCTTACAGAAGGAAAATTCCTTGACTCAAGAATAACACTAGTCACTATCTAAATACGTTCATATTTTTATATGAAATCATAAATAATATGTTTTTCAAATATCTCAAAAAGAAAATCAAGTCATATCCAACTAAAGAGATATATCACTAGTTTGCAAGGTTTGCAGATTTATAATAAGTTGTCATTAGAAATAAAAGATTTGTCCAATCTATGTACAAAATAACATTGATTTCTGACTAATAATATCATCACTCAATAGAAAAATTAATTCTCGTTTTTTTATCATATCCACTTCATACAGAGTTCACTCGAAAATGATGTAAATTCATAATTCATCAACCAATTATAATGATCTGTTTGTATTGTGTTATTTGATACTTGTATTCAGTAGTTTTATATCTGAATGAACTCACTATCATTATCATTATTATTATCATAAGAATAATAATGTTCCTGGTTTCATATCGAACTTCAGTGAACCATATCACCTTGAAAGGATCAAATTCAGTCAACTATTGGTTATATGAAACTATAGAAATAAAAAACTATATACAGATCAAAATCAATGAGTGTCAACGAGATATAATATGTTTACAGTATCGTCCACAAATAGATTATTTTCATGAATCATGGTTTATTTAGTATTTACGTCAATTGTCGTTATGGTGATGGAATTATTGATAATGAAATCGATTACTTGCAAGTTGCTATTGAAGCATTGACGTACGAAATGTAATCCTCTTATAAGATAGTGGATGGATATAATTATGTACATTATATCTAGAAAATTGCATAACTCTCATTTCGAACTTCCATTTACATAATTTGAGCAAATTAAAATGAACTTCAAGTTGAGGATATAGTCCAGCACAATTAATGCAATATCCATCTACTTGATATCTAGGCTTTTTTCATCCTATTTCAGGTTGAGTTCCAGGTTCAATTACTAATTCTATTATCCTCCTGGAGAAATATAGTTGTAACATCCATTTGTTCGATACCTAGGCTTTTTCCATCCTATTACAGGTGCATTTGCTATTTCTTATATCTATCTGGAGATATATAGTTGTAACATCCATCTGGTTAATATCTAGGCTTCATCTTATTTCAGGTTAATTAGTTCCAGGTTCAATTGCTATTTTTGATGTACTTCTGGAGGAATATAGTTGTTATATCCATCTGCTTAATATCTAGGCTTTTTTATTTCTATTCCAGATTAATTAGTTCCAGGTTTAATTGCTATTTTTGATATACTTCTGGAGAAATATAGTTGTAACATTCATCTATTCGGTATACAGGCTTTTTACATACTAATCCAGATTCATTTGCTATATCTAATATCTATCTGAAGAAATATAGTTGTTGCATCCATGTGATTGATATCTAGGATTCTCCATCTCATTCTAGGTTGTTTCCAGGTTCAGTTGCTATTTCTAGTATCCTTCTGGAGAAATATAGTTGTTACATCTATCTGATTGACATCCAGCCTTTCTCAATCATATTCCAGGTTAGTTAGTTCCTAGTTCAATCGCTATTTTTATTATCCTTCTGGAGGAATACAGTTATAATATCCATCTGCTCGATATCTAAGATTTTTTCTATTCCGGGTTAGTTAGTTCCAGGTTTAATTGATATTTCTAATATACTTATCGAAAAATATAGTTGTAACATCCATTTGCTTCACATCTAGGATTTTTTGCTATTCCGGGTTAGTTAGTTCCAAGTTCAATTGCTATTTCTGATATGATTCTGAAGAAATATAGATTCAACATACATCTGCTTGATATCCAGGCTTTTTCCATCCTGTTCCAGATTAGTTGATTCCAGGTTAAATTGCTATTTCTACTATCCTTCTTGAGGAATAAAGTTATAACATCCTTCTGCTGAATATCTATTTTTATTATCCTTCTGGAGAAATACATTTATAACACCCATCTGCTTGATATCTAGGATTTTTTTTCTATTCCAGATTAGTTAGTTTCAGATTTAATTGCTATTTCTTATAACGGATGTTAAAACAAGGTTTCAACATCCGTCTGTCCAACTTTTCTGAAGAAAAAACGAATTTTATAGCACTATCAATGGCAGGTTAATAGGTATTTCCATTCGTTAGACAGTTTCATGGCCAAAAAGAAAATGAAAAAAAGTGTTTTCTAATCAAAGATTGAGTTGCATTGAAATAGCTGAGATACTGATTAGTAGTATAGTTCCGACAACTATATAATTTTCGAAATAATTATCATGAATTTCTTCTGCATCAAGGAGTTTAAACGTTTCTTGTGCTAAATGAAACTAACAGTCAACATTAACATATAATGATAACCTCAAAAAACGTATAACAATATCATTAGTGAAATAAATAAGAAGAGACATTCAATTTATCGATAATGATCACATTAACAAAAAGTTGATACAACTTTTAGTACAATTTTTTGTGCTGCTCTTATTGAACAATGACGCATGCAGTTTCAATACGTCTTTTGTTGAACACAAAATCAGTAGCGCAGGTGAATTATTTTTATGGGGAGCTGTTAATCATGGAGAGTGGTGATGTAGTCAAGTTTCCAAAAGTGCATTTGGAAGTGTCTATTCTATTGAGAATGATATTATTTCATTTTCATTATCCGAATATACCTAAACATGAAGAAAATCGTCATCCAATCCAATCGATATCTGTAGCCGACTAGAGTTCAAAATATCTATTTCAATATTTCACTTCCATAAATAATGATCAGAATTCAAAAAAATCGAATACACGAATTCAAAAATACCAGCAATCAATAGAATAAGCTACAGTGTTTTCTACATAATTACTCATATATAAACCCTCAAAAGGAAAGTCGATGGTAAAATTTAGTATAATTCTTAAACTTGCTGCTGTAGAAAACCTCCATTATTGTATTCATTAAATTTGCCTAAACTCATCGACTTGTGTAGATCTCTTGGTGATTCTATTTACATTCTTTCGAAACGTCTGAGGAACTCCAGGGCATCTTACATTAGCCATAATATATCCAGATCCTGCATATATTGAATTTTTTTCGATATTGTCACATTTTGAGCTGTATTCACTGTATGGATACACTTTCAGAAACATTGACTCAAACTTGGATGCCTTTTCTTTTTTCGGGTTATTATTCCATTCAATCCTTATTAGAGGGTAATTTTAGAGTAAGGACAGTGAGAGAAAAGTGAAACCGTTCCAAATGCAGAAAATAAATGCTATAGCCACCAAGCGTTAAATAAAGAAAATACATATTAAACTACTCTCGAATTCTTAACCTAAAAATAAACTTATGGATGAAATTCAGTTAACCAGTGAAGTCTTCATTCCTCCACATCTGAAGGAACTGGAGTATCTTCAGCTATGGCTGGCTCTTCATCATCGTCGGCAGCAGCATCGTCATCGCCCGCTAGAGCTTTAGCTTCGGCATCAAGCGCGTCAAGCTCCGCCTGTTGTCTCTCAAGCTCAGCGAGTTCAAACTTCTGACGAACGAGTTCGTCCATTTCCCTTTGTTGTCTAGCGTCTTCGTCCTCTTCTTCTTCTTCAACCTCCTCTTCAGCGGTGGTTTCCTCTACTGGTACGGATTCTTCTTCCAAAGGAAGTTCTCCCGCCTCTACCTCAGTTTCTGACTCTTCTGCTGCTATTGCTTCAGCTTCTGCCTCTGAAGTATCTAGTTCCGCTTGCTCTGCCAGTTCAGCCTCCTGCTTAGCTAAGTCCGCAAGTTCCGCCTCCTTTCTAGCAGCTTCTGCCTCTTCTCTTGCCTGCTCGGCTTGCTCAGCTAACTCCTTCTCCTTCCTTTCCAGCTCAGCCAGCTCAGCTTCCTGTCTGGCCAGTTCGGCTAATTCTTCTTCTTGTCTAGCGAGCTCTGCCAGCTCTGCTTCTTTCTGAGCTTGTTCTGCCAACTCTGCTTCTTGTCTCGCTAATTCGGCAAGCTCTTCGGCTTGTCGTGCGAGCTCTGCTTCCCTTTCTTCCTCGGCTTGTCTGGCTAATTCTTCCAGGCGTTCAAGCTGCTTTCGTTCTTCTTCGGCTTTGGCTTCTTCTGCTCGTCGGCGTTCTTCTTCTTGGCGCAGACGTTCCTCTTCCAGTTTGCGTGCGCGTTCTATCTCAGCCTGGAAAGTGATGAACAAGTATTAGAAGAAAATCAAAGCAGTAACTCATTTTAACCACCAAATCCTAGTTTACCATGATAAAGGGTTCATTGATTTTTGAATTGACAGATACTTCTGCAGCATTTGCTGGACTGGTGTTTGAGTAGAGGGATCCAAATGTCTACGTGTCATCTCATAGAATATTTGATCAACAACGGTACAACAACAACACAACAACAGTACAACAACGGTATTTGCTAATAAAACCATCAAGCAAAATCTACATGTGTCTCACTTCTCATGGAAACACCCCCGTATCTTCCGTAATATTCGAGGTAGAACGATGAAACTCTCTGAACTGATGGAAATGCTCAAAATGCACCTACCACCTGAATGGGGTTGGCCAAAGTGATAAACACTGTCCGCCACTCGCGATGGAACACCCCATTTTTACAGTAAAACATATTAGGGGGCAAAATAGGCTCAAAATTCCTTCAGATTCGTGGTCAGGACTACCAACTTACTACGATTACACTTTTTCCTGAAAAAATTTACAACGAAAAGTTGTCCGTTTAAATTTTGATCGAAAAAAAAATTGCCAGATAATATTTTCGTTCAGGATACCACACCACACATCAACTTTCTGAGATATTTGGTCTCTACAATTCATCACCCAATTTGGATTTTGTTCAGCCCAAAACCTCATGTTCTGGGAAGATACAACACCATTCGTGGTAAAGGTAGCCTCACCACTGTATAAGAAAATAACTGGAACACAGGAACAATATCCAACACAAATACAGGAACAATAAACACAATGGGAACAGAAACACGGCAGAAACAACAGGAGCAACGGTGATTCAAAGAACAACAACAATACTAGAAACAACAAATGCAATGAAAACTAGTCTGGGGGTTAATACAACAAGATCTTTCGACAATATTGTCAGGTTGACAGTAAATATCAATGAGCAACTGTTTTCCATGGTGATTTCAGGGCACCGCATGATGTAATTCAATCCCTTCAAATGATTTCAGCAAGTAGTTAAAATAATTTAAATTCTACCTGTTCACCGGGTGCGATTTTTTCTTTAAAAATTACCAGTTGTTTCGGTGTTGCAATGAGTATGAAGATTAATTTTGTTTCGGATGGTAAAATGTTTCCTCAATATTTTGATAAAGGACCCCGCACACTTCTTATGAGAAATGGCTTGCCTTGAATTTTGCCGAAATTTTGATATGTTGTAGTTCTTGATGTGCTGATTGAAAGTGTCCACAGCCAAAGCTCAGAATCGTACAGTTTTCGAGATGTGAACCTTCGAATATGGATTTTTTCCATTTTTTGCAGTTTTTGTTCATCAATCGAGAGCTCCCACTTCTGGTTGGGATAGAATTTGGATGTCCAGCAACCAGAATTAGTTTTACAAATTATCTTCTTCAGTTATAATAGATGCCGCATTCGATAATTTTTCATACACTGCTTCACACTATCTCGATAATCTGAGAATGTGGTGCAGTGACATTTTCCTCAGATAGGCTCAAAATAGATGATAGCATCTCATAGCATCTGTATCTTTCATTCCTGAGAGTACTCTCCAGATAGAATGAAGGGGTTCAGGTATTGGAAGCGAACTATTTTGCGCCGTAATAGGTTTTACCCCATTCCATCGCGAGTGGCGGACAGTGTATATCACTTTGGCCAACCCCATTCAGGTAGTAGGTGCATTCTGAGCATTTCCATCAGTTCTGAGAGTTTCATCGTTCCACCTCGAATACTACGGAAGATACGGGGGTGTTTCCATAAGAAGTGAGACAAATTCGGATTTTTCAGAACTGAAATTTTTCCAGGAAAGAAGTGTATTCGTAGTGAGTTGGTAGTCCTGATCACGAATCTGAAGGAATTTTGAGCCTATTTTGCTCCCTTATATGTTTTACCGTAAAAATGGGGTGTTCCATCGTGAGTGGCGGACAGTGTATATTACTTTGGCCAACCCCATCCAGGTGTTAGGTGCATTTTGAGTATTTCCATCAGTCCTGAGAGTTTCATCGTTCTACCTCGAATATTACGGAAGATACGGGGGTGTTTCCATGACCAGCCACAATTCCAGAAAAACGTGTTCACCTTTTTTATCAGGCAATATATTCAGGAATCTCACCTGTTTAGCCAATTCCTCTTGCTTGGCTAGTTCCGCTTGCCTTTCAAGTTCAGCGGCCCTCTCTGCTGCTGCTTGAGCTGCCAAATCTTCTTGTCTTGCCAGTTCTGCTCTCCTTGCAGCCTCTTCTTTCTTCGCCAGTAACTCTTGTCTAGCCTGTTCTTCAGCCAAGGCCCTGAAATCAAAGATATCGATCATCTTGTGGTCTCATCCAAAGCGAGTTCTCTACTTCTAGAAAGATTGTTCTCTAGAAAGATTATTGAAACAGCAGTGAGAGTACCAAAATTTCGGTACGGGGGTAGAACAGAAAATGGTGCATTAAAAGTACTGGGATTTCAAACAGAAACATCTTAACAAAGTGACTGATCTTGAAATGAGGTTTTATTACAAATGAATAGATGTGATCTCAAAATACTGCCCATTAGAAATATGCAAACCTGAACAAAATAGGACTCTATCGTCCAGAAATTGCAACAAAAACAGTGCTACGATAGATCATAGGACGCAAGTAAGTTATAGACAACCAAAATTGGGTTCAGAAATATATGACAAACATCGAACAAAAAACCTTCACAGAATAATAAACATGTTGGATGTTGGAAAGGGTATCATGATAATATGAAAGAAAAAACTCAATGAGCACAGGTGAATGCATTCACTCAAAATCGTCTCATCCTCACAGTAGTAGTAACTGCTATAAGGACAACCCGAGTACTTTGTCCATTGCTTCTTCGTCTGATGCATCATCAACAACAACAACGGTCAACAACAAAGAGCTTTGATATACTTGAAAATCATCTTCAGTATCCAGGTCAATTTTGGAACTTTTCCAGAATTTTATTTGTTCACAGAAGACGTGTCAAGATCTTTCGAAGGAAGTTGGTGTTTCTGCTACTATTGAAATTCATCAGATCTTCAGAATCTCTGGAGAATCAATGCGTGGAGATTCATTTCATCTACTCAACTCTGCTTTGATGACGATCCATGAGTGTGAGTATGATGTGAGTTTGTTGAGCTCTATGACATTGCATCTAGATAAAAATGAATCTACGTAAATTTTCATCGGAAAACTATTTCCACGGAACGTTTGAAAGAATGAATCTGATGTGAACTCTAATTCTTTCATCATGTAACGTGATTTGAAATAGTGTAATTTAGAGTCTACCTTTCCTTAGTTTTTACTACATCTTCGTCTCACTTTTCATTGTATCTTTACCAGAAATCAAAACCTTATTCTGAGCCATAATTAGGCTTTTTCGACCCACTATTCTCAATTGAAGATTGATAAACTTTCAACGACACCTCTTTCAGTCATTAGGAGGTTTTCTGCACTGATTATTCAATTCAGTGACCTCAATCGTATGATTAGGAAAAAGTATATATGACTCTATTGAGACTTCAATCCATAACAAGATAACCTTATAAATTACCTCTGTTCGATTTTTTGAGTGCAATTGAAATCAATTTAGAACAAAAAAATCAGCCAATTATTGCACTCACTTCTCTTCAGCTAACCTCTCTTCCTCCTTCTTCTTTTTGGCTTTGACTGCATCGTCCACTTCAACTGAAGTTCTCTCTAGCTTTGCCTCTTCGTTGATGAAGGCCAATCGTGCAGCACGCGCTTCTCTCAGCTTTCTCATCTCTTCGTCTGCTGTTTTGTCTTCCGTACTCTGAGCTGTGAATTTCCTGGAAGGCCGGGCAGGAGAAAGTGGAACTGAAAAGGTAATGATAGTGTACGTTTTTCATTGGTAATTTGCTAAAAAACCACTGCAGCGATAGCAATATGCGTACAGATGAGGTTTGTCAACGAAAAAATGACGTCAGGTCGTGGCAAAAGCATAATGTGCTCATATGAACAAAGAAGTACTTTAATTTGCTTCACTGGGTATTGAAAGCACATACGGTAATACGGCTGCAGGTACAGTCATTCTGGCATTAGGAAGTAGGGGAATCGTAGAGACAAGGTGCAGATGACTATGGTCTACGAGCTTAAAGGAAGACCGTTATGAAAGAAACAGTGGTGGCAAGGGAAACTAAAGCTATTCAATGGGAAAGCCTTGCCCTCACTGTTATGGAACCTTGCAATGAACGATTTGCTGATTTTTTTCCTACAAGATGGCCAAGCTGAAGAAACCAGATTCCCTGAAGCTCCGAGATAGAGAAACGGAAATGATGCTGGTCAAATCCACTTATTGAAAGGCTCACATGGCTGACATTTCTGAAAAAGATCAAATAAGCAACAGCTGTGACCTTATTCGTTTGGTGATAATGGATGTAAAGAGAACCACAACAACAGCAGCATCAGAGTCAATCTTCAACCAAATTTCTTCACATATTGTGACTGAAAAACTCATCGAGCTGCAAGGGATCACTACAAACAAAATTTTCAAAACATATGAGGTAACAAAAATCGAACATATTTGAAACAAGCGCTTTATCCAATCACCAGAAATGCAATACTCTGAGATTAATATGCGCAGCAAATCAAATGAAAGCGAAAAGGAATGTTGTATTTATTGACTAAGAAAAACGAAGATGACGTGACATGTTAAAAGGTCACTGAGTTATATCTTCGTTAATGATAGTCGCATCATCATGAGCAGCACATCAAATGAAAGGGGGAGAAACACAGAGAAGAGTATTGCAATTTGCTCGTTTTAGATTCATTCTACGTCTTCAAGGTGTGTACACAAGAAGTAACAATTTGAGGCTTCAGTGAATTGAGGGCATCAATATTGATCAGTTCAGGAGTGACTGGTGTCTAAAAAATGGTGACCCCAATGGGGTCACCATTGAGCCCCTCATTAGCAGACATTTTTATGGACAACTTAGAAAACACGTGTGTCCTGAAGAATGCCTTATCCCAAAAACCCATTTTATTCTGGTTTAGATATGTGGACGATATCCTCGTGGATTTTGACGGCTTGAAGAGACAGATAAACCAGTTCGTCAACTTCCTTAATACTCTACACTACACGATAAGGTAAAATTCACGGTCGAAATAGAACAAAACAACAGCATTAACTTCCTGGATCTCACTATTACAAAACGCAATGGTAAATTTTAGTTCAACATCTATAGAAAAAACGCCTTCACGGACTGTACAATACCGATGGATTCTTTCAGTCCATTATCAAACAAATTATCGGCCTTCAGATCTGTGATACATAGAGCATTTATGATACCTTCATCAGAGGAGGCTTTTCAAGAAGAAATTGAGATCATAAAGCAGATAGCATATAACAACCATATTCCCGCCAACTTAATTGAAAAACTGATCTCCATTAAGAACAAAAAATTGATCGTGAAGGAACTATACCTAAATCAGGAAGAACATAAAGAAGGTAAAAAATATGCTAGCATAAGTTATTCAAGGAAGCTCTCAGAAAATATAAAGAACCATTTTTCAAAACTCAACATAAGCATATCATTTCCTAATAAGAATAATTTAGGAAACATGTTATTCAACGCAAAACCTAGAAAGAATAAATGGAAAAAATGGGGCATATACAGACTAGAATGTGGGGACTGCCCAACAGCTTATACAGGTCAGATAGGCAGAAACTTTGACATAAGATATCGAGAACATGTATTATCAGGTAAAAAATCAGCCATATATGGCTGATTTTGGAAATAAATAAATTGTACAAGGACCCCAAGTTCATAACGCTCAACGACCACCTAGATCTATGCAGCTCGCCCCTTTTGAATTTAGGAATTTTAGGATCCATCCAATAGTTGGTAATCGTGACATATTGTAATATTGGTAACAGGTTAGGTCAGGTAACTAGAGCAGATACTTGTCCACACTATTCAAGACGCAACTTGACAATTTGTGGTAGTTACTTGAAAATGGCCTTATAAGCCGAAACTGGTCGTAACGAATGAATAAACACAGTAGAAACTAGACAAAAGTATTTTCTTTATTCAAAAATATGACGGCTGAACTACTTGATGATACTCCCCCTGGCACTATTGCTAGATGCCATCCCTCTGGTTAGATCCAGCCTAATTTGTTTTCAAAGAGGCCGGAACATTTTGTGTCCATCGTAAAACCATCAAAAGAAGATCCCATTTTGCTGGTGTTAGAAGGACACTACAGCCATACAAAGAATTTAGATGTGATAGACTGCGCACGTGACAATGGGGTATCTATAATCTGCCTCCCCCCACTTTCTACAGATCGTATGCAATCCTTGGATGTCTCGTTTATGTTTCCATTCAAGACATAATATACGCAAGAAATAGAGAATTGGTTGAATAACCATCCAGGGCGTGTTGTTACTCACTATCAAATTGGAGAGATATTTGGGAGAGCTTATTCAGAAGCTTGTAAAATTGATTTGTTTGAAAATCTGTTTAAAATCTGTTTCTCCGTTAATCAGCTGTCGCCCCCATACGAACGACAACTCTCAGAAGTTGTCAAACTTGCGCGAGCTAAGGACTAACAAGGTCTTACCTTTTAACGTGCGATTCCTAACACGGAATTACACAGCATACAGCAGTAAACGGATTTCGAAAAACGGGAATATTTCCATTCAACGAAAACATTTTTGAGATTCTCCGCAAGCTCCCACTTCGTCCGTTGCAAACAATACAACATCGGTAGTAAATGCTGTCATGTCAGTCCCCATAATGGAAAGACCAACCACTCTATCAACAGAACTTGATATAACTCCGTCATCTCCTTTTATAGTTCCAGCAGATGTGTATCCTATTCCGGTTATTGAACGACCTACAACTTAAACAAGACGTGGAAAAGCGATGATAGTCACGGCCTCACCACATAAAAAAGAAATAGTCCAGGCAAAAAAGAAGCAAAAAGAGAAAGATGAAAGAGTAGCAGGAAAAAATAGAGATAGAAATATAAACAAAACAAAAACCTCTGCATACAATGAAAATAAAACAATCGAGCAACAAAAAATACAGTCTTCTGATGAAGAAATATCCGAAAATGATGGTGCAGTTTTGGTCTCCACTGACGAAGATGATAACGAGAATGATGACGCTGAATGCCCTGTTTGTCATAAAAGCTATTCTCGAAACAAAAAAGGAGAGAAATGGATAAAATGCATACAATGTTTTCAGTGGCTGCACGAAGATTGCGTTGAAAGTCCAGTGCCAAAATTTGTGTGCTCATTTTGTTTAAAAAATAGTAATTGCTACTTGTGTCATACTAATCATCACTAAGTAAGTTGAAAAGAACTTTAGGAATTTAAATGAATGACTGATTACATTAATACCATAGCCACGTACAAATGTTTTTATAATTATAATATTATTAAGAGTTCAACTGCGTAGATTGAATGGGATCTCAATCTCGTCTCGGAGAGGGAATAAAAAGCCCGGAATTTTGTGATAGCTCTATCGCATTTTTAATTACATTCATCAAAGAAGAAATATTAAAGCTTATGTTTGATATTTTATTTATAACTGTTAATATTTTTTTCTATATTTCATGATATTTTTACAAAAAGGGGGCGGCATTTGGCGACATTACCTTACTCACATGTTCATTAGTTTCAGTTCAGCCGCTCACAAACAAACAAAAAATATTGTTAGACACTTTCGTCCAATGAAGTGTTGATAGAAAATAATGAAATGAATGGAAGATGGTTCGTGAGGTTCAGATAGAACTTCAACTATCACTACTTCCTATGAAAATCGTTTGTAAGATTTCATCTGCTGATTATCAGAGAAGGGTATTCGGTTTAACTCATTTGCATATGCAGATACTCACTGTAGGATGTTGGATGCACATTCGCGATGCATGATACTAAATCCTCAAATTAACATGATTGCTGTGTTTTGGAATAGACAGGAAATCAATGTATGATTCATGTATTTCAAGCAATAAAGCATGAATGAATACCATAGGTGACTTTTTTGTGAAATTTTGCTTCCAATCAAGTATAGCCTCTCTTCATTATTGTAAAAACTTGCCTCTGTTCAGACCCATGATTTCAGATGATCACTAATGAATTATGTTCTATTTCATCAAATTGCATAATCAAATACCTGCAACTATTTTGGAATGAATTGAAGTGATAGTCATTCAGAATCGCAGAAAAAATCACTTTTTAATCATTTAGAAAGACTAAACCTCTTATATACCCCAGAAATGAAATAACGGAAAACATAAAATCAACTTATATTCATGAAACAGTCGTACTGTCCATAATTACTATTATCTTGAAGTTATGCGCTGCTTGCGGAAAGCTAAATGAAAAAAATGTCCGGTTTCATGGATAAATAATGTAATTCATGGTTTTTGCAGTACGATAATGCACCTGCTCAACCGTCATAGCTAGTTCGTGATTTTTTGGCCAGAAACAACACCATTACCATGCGACATCCATCATATTCAACAGATTTGCCCCTCTGCGACTTTTCTACGTTCCCAAAGTTGAAGAGACCTATGAAAGGACTTCATTTTGCGACGATTGAGGAGACAAAACACAGCTCAAAGACACACTAAACAGTGCATATTAGAACTGCACATCATCAAGGATTGGCACAAGAGTATCATATCTGAGGGTTTTTTTCACATATAGTCAATGGGCATACTTGACAACTGGCTATAAATCAAATCATTTAAAAGAACAACAACTGCCTCAACTCCCTGAACTGTAGGTTAATGGACTGACACCTGTCAGCGAACAACTACTCCCCTGGCTAATACCACGAAGGGTGTTGGATTATATTTGGCAGATG